CCCCTCACGTACGGGCTCTGCACCTGTGGGCACAGTGGAGGTCACAGGCATAAAATTAGTACCACCCGAAGACACGGTGCCTCTAGGTTGGTGGGTCAATCTCTGTATTTTTAATGGGTCTCCTTGAACAAATAAGATAAGATTGATTTCATGTTTTGTCGTCTTCAGATGAACAGAATTTACCCTCATTTGTTTAAAAAGGGGGAAAGAATGCCTGTTTCTGATTTGTTCTAATACATTTATTAAATGTAATCATATAGTAAAAAATTCAGCGATGTTAAAAACAGCAGGAAAATATTAAACTTTCCATGTACAAAGTTTGGATCATAAAATATGTTTCGTGGGGCTCTCACTGAAACGGGACACAACCTTCATGACACTCACAATTAGTTGCTAAGAGGCTCGATGTAGCCCAGAAGGCAGAGAGTGGAGGAGTTGTCTACCAAGTGGGCTCTTGCTTCACAGAGCCCAGGCTCTGGCTGCTTCCCTCTCTGAGGCTTCCGCTGGCATTTGGAACATGGGTTTAGAGTTCCCTCTGTCTATCTCATGTTTCTTTCTCTCCTTCTTAGGAATAAAGTAAGCTCATGGAAAATCTTACTTTTTTGTTCATATGGAACCTGTTTCTTGTGTACCACCCTTTTATTTCCCACTACCCATTGACCCCACCAATAAACAAACGAATATCCCCACTCAGGAGTCCAATGTAGAAAGGAGAAAAATTTCTTTTTGTATTGAAAACCTAAGGTGCTACTTACTGAGTGCCTTGAGTTGATAGCTTAGGAAAGGGCTTCCTCAGACTCCAAAAGATTTGTTCATGTTGGAGAAGCAGTTAACATTGATTTATCTCTGGTCATGAACAGACACGGTTCAAGCTAACACTTCCCACATGCTGTGTTTGTCTGTGCTGGCTGCTATACAAAGTGCCATAGACTGGGTGGATTAAACAACAGGAATTTCTGTTCTCACAGCTCTGGAGCTGGAAGTCTGGGATCCAGGTGTGGGCGGGGTTGGTCTCTTCTGAGGCTCTCTTCTTGACCTGTGGATGACCATCTCCTGCCTGTGTCTTCACATGTTCCTCCGTCTGTGTCTGTGTCCTGATGTCCTCTTATAAGGATGCCAGTCAATATTGCTTTAGGGTTGCCCAATTACCTCGTTTAATGTTAATTACCGCTTTTAAGGTCCTGTTTTGAAATACAGTCACATTGAGGTTGTGGGGGTTAGGACTTCAATATAAGAATTTTTGGGGGACCAGGGGCAGTGGCTCATGCCACCCAGCACTTTGGGAGGCTGAGGCAGGTGGATCACCTAAGGTGAGGAGTTCGAGACCAGCCTGGCCAACATGGTGAAACCCGTCTCTACTAAAAATACAAAAAAAAGCCGGGCATGGTTGCGGGCGCCTATAATCCAACTTATGCTGGAGGCTGAGGCAGAAGAATCGCTTGAACCTGGGAGGTGGAGGTTGCAGTGAGGTGAGATTGCGCCGCTGCACTCCAGCCTGGGTGATAGAATGAGACTCCGTCTCAAAAAAAAATAAAAAGAAATTTTGGGGGGACACAATGATGTAGCCCATAGTGCCTGTGTATGCATGCGTGTGCACGTACACACACATGCACACACACACATGCACACGTGCACACGCATGTGTGTACACACACACATGCACACGCATGCACCCACATGCACACACACACACTCTCAGGCATACGCTCTGTACTTTTCTATAGGCCTCTTCCAGCTAAATTTTTAGTTTTAATCTGAGATATAGCAAAGGCCCAGTGATTAGGTCTTGCAATGAAACGATTCCCTACAGAGACATATGGGGTGAGAACCCCATACACCTTCAGCGAAGCATCATTGGCCACGTGTCGGCTGTGGGGAGACCTGGCTGGCCCAGCACACAGGCCAGTCTGTGTGCAGAATGGTCCCTGACAACTGGAACAACCGCTGTTGGTTCAGGGGCCCTCACGCTGCAGTCAGCACCACCTCAACTGGGAAGGACAGGGATGTTTTAGGGAACTGATCCCCCAGGCTCCCATTCAGTTGGCAACTCCAAGTGGACACAGAAGCCTGTGAATCATGTGTGATGTGGCAGCCTTCGTGCTGAGCAGGCATCTGTGGTACCCTGGTTAAAGCCAAGACAATTCAGAGGCTGAGAGAAATGAAACTGAATCCCCAGGGGACTGAGGGAGCCTGTGGGCATCAGATGGAAGGAAAACGCCCCATGGCAGGAGTGGGAGTGGAGAGCGTGAAATGCAGGCATGGCAGTTTCCCCAGAATACTTTGGATTTCCCTGGACAATGCCACAGAGGACCCTGGGCATCCTGGGACACCAAGGAGCCTGCGCTTCCTCCTGGGCAGATGCAGGTTCTCATCTGTCGGCTCCTGGAGGTCTGCACTGGAGAGGAGAACATTTGGCACCTGGCATGACTCCTGTAGAGCCGTCCCTGCCCTGCCCTGGGAGCTAATGGGTATTTTCCACCTGCTGCAAAAATAGACTTGATTCAGATACCTCGTCCTGAGATTGGCTTACCCAGGCCTACACAGCCCCTCCAGGCAGACAAGACCCCTCACATGTTACCTCTGAATGAAACACAGGGTCCAGGCAGATGGAGTTCCAGGGACAGAGTGGGGCAAACCTTGGAATCTTGCTTGACTGAGTGTGATGGCCCCTTGGCCTGACTCAAGGCTTGAGGGAGATGACAGAGGGTTCATTGAGGATGCCAGGGCCCTCCATGTGGCTCTGCACTCAGGCTCTGCACCCTGTCTCTCCTGAGCCTGAGGCCACAGCCCTGCCCTGCCCCATGAACCCCAGGCAGGAGGCTGTCGGCTCTCGACCCAGCTGGGTCTGGAGTGACATTCAGCTTCAGAAGTCATGCTTTTCTCCCAGCCCTGTGGATCCCACTCAGCATCAGGTGGCTAGTGCAGGAAGCCCTCTGCCTTTGTTTCTCTTGGGCACCTGCTCAAAGTCCCTTTACGTGCAAAGTCTTCATTCCTTGTTTCCTCCATCTCCACTTCCTCCCCCTGAAAAGAGCTGATGGCCAATTGTCACTGGGGCCCAGGAGAGGCTCCTTCCTTCCCTCTCACCTGGGCTCTTTGTCCTGTGCCACACCTGTCCTGGTCTTTGTGAGGCATGGCCGTCTCCATGCTGGGCTGATAGAAGTCCACCTCGCATCCTTTGAGAGAGCTTGAGTCACCTCTAGTTGCCATTTCTAGCCTCCCTCCCCGCCAACCCCCGAGAATGAGGGATGCTGGGACACTGCCCAGGTTCAGCATTCAGCACCGCAGGCTATAGAAGCTAAGGCAAAGTTTCCATTCACCATTCTGCACACATTCTTCTTTCAGCGATGACTGCATATATCATTAGCAGTGTTCAGTAAGGGCCAAGCAAGACCAGGATCTCAGAGTCAAAGTTGAGCACCACATAGAGGCCGGAGCAGCACAAGGCAGGGGTTGGGGACAGGTGGGAAAATTGCTACCCTCTACCCAAGGCCACAGGTTATCCCAGTCAGATCCAGAGGCTGGAAGAGAGGAGTATAAGGCTGTTTGTCTTAAATAAAGGGCAGGGTGCTAGAAAGCGAAGGTGGTGGGTGGGACAGCTGTTTTAAACAGAGAGGCAGGGATACCTTTCTTGCAGTGGAACTTCTTCAGACCTGAGATGGAAATGAAATGAGGGAGCCCCATGGAGGTCTGAGGGGAGTGTTCCAAACAATGAGAACAGGATTGCAAAACTCTTGGGAAGTGGGCAAACTGGTGTGGCCAGAATGAACCCAAGCAAGGTGCAGGGAAACCTCACTGAACTTCAGTTTTTTCATTCTGAAAACTGGAGTGATGAGACGTGAGAAGTAGAAATGATACATTGTATGTAGTGCATATGGAAGTTGACCCTCGGTAGTGGCCTCCATGACTGTCCCTACTCTAGGCACACGTTGTGGTGCTGATCTGTAAAGACGTGTGAAGGTCTCCTCTGACTGTACCTTCCATGTGCGGTCATGGCCCTCCTCCTCTCACAACTTTCCATGACTCCCTTTTACCCAGATCAGCTCCATTGTTGGCTTCCGGGTCTTTCATTTCCTCCCCCACCAATCCCGCCAACTCCTCCCTCCATCCTTGTGATCCTTAGTCCAATCCTGAGCCTCTTTCTTGGGGTCTTTCTCAGGCACCCATTTACCTTCCACCTTGGGAGGTTGTGAATGACTTTTTTCTTTCTTTCTTCCTTTTTTTTTTTTTTTTTTTTTACAGTGCTTGTGTATTACTTTTAGTAATTAATTTTAAAAACCCAAAAAGGTCATTTTTAGTTAAAAAAGATACAGACACACATGCACAAACTGTTTATAATCGTTTGTCCCCCAAGAATTTGAGGCCTCAACTATAGAATTTAAGTCACTCAAGGACACTCAGACTGCAATCCCCATTCAGTGACTGCTCTATGCCATGGGTCTTTCTCTAAGCCACATACACATTTACCCAGAACACGGATGCTGGGACTTTCTAAGCCTGGCTAGTTTCTCAGTGGGTCACCTCAGGCTCCCAAGGATTGAGACTCCTGGGAGGCCAGGCCTTTCTGGCTTATTCTAAAGAAATTAGATCATAAATGCACCTTGTTATTTTCAGGAGATGGAAAGCAACTTGACAACCACGACCCTGCCTCGCATGTGTTGGACTTTGATTTTTCTTGTTGCCATTTCATTTTCAGTTACCTGCAAGTTGTTTGAGGGCTGTGAGCCTTGTTACCTCAGCTCTCAAGGGCCAGGTAGAGTCCAGAATCAACAACCCGTTTCACTTGACTTTCAAACTAGAAGAGGAGCTCACAGCTGAGTTTCACCAGGTAGGAGAAAAAGGAATTTTATTGTATGTGAAGAGCTGATACAGAACATCTTTGTGCTCCCAGAACTCCATTGCCTGTTCTTTGGGAGACTTCTGGTGTCTGTTTGCTGGTTCTGCCCTTTGAGTAGAGTCTCTTTCTGGTCATTTCAAAACTGGATCACCTGACTTCAGGGCAGGGTGGAAGTGTCAGAGAACAACAAAGAGCCGGTTGCCCTCTCCTTCACTGGAGGAGAGCAGAGCAAAATGCTCAGGAAAAAAAAGCACTTTGTTTCTTCAATATTAGTATTTTGAGTGTTTTGCAGCTCAGCTTCTTAGGTATAACCACTGCTTCTCAACACTGAGGTACTGTATTAGTCTGTTCTCATACTGCTTAATAAAGACATACCCGAGACTGGGTAATTTATAAAGGAAAGAGGTTTAATGGACTCACAGTTCCATATGGCTGGGGAGGCCCCACAATCATGGCAGAAGATGAAGGAAGAGCAAAGTCACATCTTACATGGTGGCAGGCAAGAAGGCGTGTGCAGGGAACTACCTTTTATAAAACCATCAGATCTTGTGAGACTTATTCACTATCATGAGAGCAGGGCAGGAAAAACTCTCTGCTGTGATTCAGTTACCTCCCACCAGGTCCCTCCCATGACATGTGGGGATTATTACAATTCAAGATGAAATTTGGGTGGGGACACAGAGCCAAACCCTATCAGGTGGTATATTTAGTGTTACTCTTCTTCCACATCAGAACTTGACAGATGATTCAAGAACATTCCAACACAATCCTGAACCTCACTTGCTTCATCTGTAAAATGGGGATAATGCCTACTTCGCCAGGCCATTGTGAGGATTAAAGGGATTCTGTGAGGTAAAGGAAGTCTGTGTGAAGTCCCAGCACAGTATCTAGCATAGAGGGCACTGTAGAATGAGAAGGGTGAAGATGAGTCCACTGTAGCCTTATGGGGAAATCACTCTGAGGCAGGACCACACTTCACCTGAATCTGATTTCATGTGGTTTGCCCACAAGGCAGTTTTAATCCTGTGATTATTATGGGGTGGGGGGATGTGAACTTCTGATTGGAAATGTTACTGATTTACTTACCCATAAACAAAATCAGTTTAACCTTATGAAGGTAATTAAGGCTTCTGCTGGGGACTCCTTTGCTTCTGTAAACTGCAGGTGGTAACACCGCCCAGTCAGCCTTGATGGGGAAGAGGGAAAGGTGGCCGGGCCTTCCAGGGTGGCTCTCCCCACAGGAGCAGGACCGATGCTTACAAGTTTTCAGGGCTCTGAGGGCGGCAGGAACCCGGAAATCCAGGCTTCTAGGACCCCTGTGGCCATTTTCAGAAATGGAGCAGGTCCCCCAGGCATGAAGGGTACCTGGAGATTCAAGAGTATGACTGCCCATGGGCCTCTGTGGCTTGAAAATATTATCAGGGCAAAACTTGTCATTCCTTATTCAGAGCTAAAGTGCTCATTGCACATAGTCCTGGGAGAAATAACAGGACAATCAGCTCTGACGTGACGGACACAGGCAGAAGTGATTTGTGGAAGTGGGCTTGGACAGAGGGAACAATTCTGGAGGTTTAACTGGGAGAACAAAGAGCTGGAAGAAGGAGGTAGTGCAGAGGCCCTCAGAAGGGGAACGACCTGGAGCCACACAGAGACGGGCTTTGCTTCCTTCATGTTTTGCTTGGGACCGAACTTGCTTTCTCCTGTGTAGCTGATTCTCTGGTTTGTGTGCAGAAACACTGCCAACACTGCCATTTAAATAAGGATTTCAGGAAGTAGAAGGGAAAAAAATACTGGAGTGAGAATTTATGGTGCAGAGTATTTAATGATATTAAGATGCAGAGTGGCAATTTAAGACATTTTGCTGCCTCTCAGGGAGTTTTGTAGGTATACAGGCTAATTTTCAGAAGGCTTGCTGGGGGTAGGGGAGAAATCATTTGCCTACATACGGTGAGGTATAATCACTAGTACCTTGGCATTTATTAGAATTTGGAAGAAAGATGGAAAAAAATCAGTCTACTTTATTGAAATCTTTTGCAGAAATGTGACATAACCATTTTCTTTTTTTTTCCTCTCTCTTTTTTTATTATACTTTAAGTTCTATGGTACATGTGCACAACGTGCAGGTTTGTTACATATGTACACATGTGCCATGTTGGTGTGCTGCACCCATTAACTCGTCATTTACATTAGGTATATCTCCTAATGCTATCCCTCCCCCTCCCCCACCCCACAACAGACCCCAGTGTGTGATGTTCCCCTTCCTGTGTCCAAGTGATCTCATTGTTCAATTCCCACCTATGAGTGAGAACATGTGGTGTTTGGTTTTTTGTGATTGGAATAGTTTGCTGAGAATGATGGTTTCCAGCTGCATCCAATGTCCCTACAAAGGACATGAACTCATCCTTTTTTATGGCTGCATAGTATTCCATGGTGTATATGTGCCACATTTTCTTAATCCAGTCTGTCATTGATGGACATTTGGGTTGGTTCCAAGTCTTTGCTATTGTGAATAGATGACACAACCATTTTCAAATAGTTTTTATTACCACCAAAACAATATTCATGAGCTAAAAGCTAATGTAAGGAATCAAAATTCTTACAGTGGTTACTTTGGCTAGGAGAAATAGAATTGTTTTCCTCTTTTCAATTTTCTGTATATTTTTTAATTTTAAAGAAAATGTGAGTCCTGTATAGTGATAGAATTGCACATTTAAAATGTGTGGTTTTTTTTTTTTTCTTTTTTCTGCAATAGGGTTACATGATGGAAAATTGAATCTCAGGCTTAAGGTGTGACACAGATATGTTTGCCACTTTTGAAGGTGACACTGTCATTATGCTTCAGGTAAGATTCGGGAAATGTTTTCAAGATCAAGAGTTATCCAGAAGTCTGAAGTGTTTCATATGTTTTATCTTTATCTGATTGCCTTATTTAATTGGCAGGTGCTTTCCTGTGAGGCACTTGATATTTGTTGTAGCTGAACGGGGGATTAAATTATTTCTCTCTTAGCTGATCTTTGACTTTGAATTATATCTTTTTGGTTTAAGAAAACCACTTATACATAGTGGGTCAGATTCTTCTACTGGGAAGGGCATTTTGAAAGAGTATGTAAGGCCCCAGAAGATGAACAAGCAAAAGACATGAAAACCCAATTTACAAAAGAACGACAATGGATCAGCCTCTTAATGATCAAGGAAATGCGTATCAGACTCTTCTGCAATACTGTTTTCCTTTCTCAACCCAGTCGGCTCATGTTTTAAAGTATGTTGAAGTCCCTGTGCTGGCACGGGGTGTCCTCTTGCATGTTGCTGTTGAACCATGTATAATTCTACTTCTGGGCTGTATTTTAAGGTAACAGCCTGAAATACAGAAAGCTTTAAGGCACAAACATTTTCACCAGTACATTATTTATTATAGCAATAATGTTGGAGTCCAAATTTTCAACAATAGGAAAATTATTATACAGTATAAATCATGCTGTGGCCATTCAGTGGGGAATTATATAGCTTTTAAAATAGTGTTTTCAAAGAGTGCTATTTATAACCGAAATTTAAAACTCATGGTGAGTAAAAGTGATACAAAAACGTACAAGTCATGCATTGCTTAACAAGAGGAACATATTCTGAGACATGTGTCATTAGGCCGTTTCATCGTTGTGTGAGCTTCATAGAGTGCACTCACGCAAACCTAGATGGCACAGCCTACTCCGCACCTAGGCTCTGTGGTGGAGCCTATTGCTCCCAGGCTTCACGCCTGTAGGGCATGATACTGTACTTGAATACCACAGGCTACTGCAACATAATTTTTGTTTGTTTAATGATACGTAATATTTTTACATATATAAGGGATACATGCGATATTTTGTTACACGCCTGGAGTGTGTAATGATCAAGCCAGAGTTCTTAGGGTGTCCATCACCTCGAGTATTTATCATTTCTATTTGTTGAGAACATTTCAAGTCCTCTCTTCTATGTATTTTGAAATATGCCGTATATTGTTGTTAACGATAGTCACTCTACTCTGCCATGGAACATTATAACTTATTCCTTCCACCTGACTGTATATTTGTACTGATTGATCAACTTCTGTTCATCCCCCCTACCCCCCCACACACCTTTCCCAGACTCTGGTATCTATCATTCTAATCTTTACTGCTATGAGATCAACTTTTTTCGCTCCCATGTATGAGTAAGAACATGCCATATTTGTGTTTCCGTGCCTGACTTATTTCACTTCCCATAATGACCTCCAGTTCCATTCATGTTGCTGCAAATGAAATGATTTCATTTTTTATGGCCAAATAGTATTCCATTAAATACACACACATACACACACACACACACACACACACACACACACATTTTCTTTGTCCATTTCTTCATGTGATGGGTATTTAGGTTGATTCCACATCTTTGCTATTGTGACTAGTGCTGCAAATGTGGGTGCAGGTATACCTTTGATATATTGATTTATTTTTCCTTTGCATAAATACCCACTAGTGGGATTGCTGGGTCATAGGGTAGTTCTATTTTTAGGTTTTTTTGTGTGTTTGTTTTGTTTTTGAGAAACCTTCATACTGTTTTTTATAGTGGCTATACTAATTTACCTTCCCACCAACAGTGCCTAACACAATTTTTATGTTTAAGTATTTGTGTTTGGAAGTACATCCAAGCATAGATAAGGTGATGTGTTGTGCTATGACATCATGATGGCAAAGATATCACTAGGTGATGGGAAATTTTTAGCTGGGGCCCTTGACTGTATAAAGAATGTGATCATGATTTGGGGTTTTTAAAAAAGGGCAACAGGGACTCCTGGACTGCTAAGATAGAATAGCCCCAATTCCTCACAGATTTTCCTCTTCACAATTAAACTCCCCGGACAAAATACAACAGACAAGCATGGGAAGAGAAGACCCTGGAAGGGGGAGGGAAGAAGGAGACTGCCGAGGGACTTTGGGACTTGAAGAATGAAACAGCAATAAGGTCTCTGGATTTCCTTATTGTCTCCCATATATCCCAGACAGGATACACGTCCCCTGTATCTCTAATAGGCACACACAAAATATGCTCCAGGAGACACCTAATCCCCTAGTCAAAGGACCAGAAAGATGGTGGCCTGAGGACCGAAAATCTTTTTGGTAATATCCATGCTACACCAGCCAGACACAACAAAAA